CTCAGCACCAGAGCAATGTTTGAGACACTCAGTAAGATGGAGAGAGTATTGCCACAGTGCCTGCTGCCCTGGGTGCATGGCAGCTGCTTTGTTTGTGCCACTTTGAACACTTTCCTGGACTAATTACTTTGTTAAATCAGAAACATATATGATGGAACCAATCAGCTTAATTGCATCTTGTCAACAACCATGGGGTAGCTCAAACATCTGTAGGACACTATGATATTGTCACTTTAAAGCACAGGGCAGCAGTGGCTACGTGTCTTAGATAAAATCCTGGCCTGCTGAAGCAATGAATTGTGCCTTTTCACATACCAAATTCCAAACTTATCAGGCACAGAGCCATAAGAGATAAGGAAAAAATTGGGAGTTTGCTGTTATTTTCTGAACACTCAGAGCTTTGCTTTCACAAGAGGGGCATGGTGCTGTTCATGGAGGGCTGCAAGGGCCATGCTGAACTGCAACTGCATTTCTTGCAAAGCAGGAGCTGCATGGGCCCTGTGGTATTTTCAGGGTCCCCAGATGGAGGAGGAAACTGAGAATCTGACTCCATGTTCTTAGAAAGCTAATTTATTATTTTATTATATTAAAGAATGCTATACTAAAACTTTACTAAAGAATAGAGAAAGGATACAGACACAAGGCTAAAAGATAATAATGAAAGACTCATGACTCTCTCTTCAGAGTCTGACACAGTTTGACACTGACTGGTCATTAAGCCAAAACAATTCACATGTTGGATAAACAATCTCCAAACCACATTCCAAAGCAGCAAAACACAGGAGAAGCAAATCAGATAATATTGTTTTCCTTTTTCTTTGAGGCTTCTCAGCTTCCTAGGAGAAGAATCCTGGGCAAAGAGGATTTTTCAGAAAATATGATGGTGACAGACCCTTCCCACAGCAGGACACAACAAACCCTCAGAACATCTCATATATTACCAAGCAAAGAGGTCCAAGCTTCCTCACCCAGGCCAAATACTTAGTGGGGAAAACTAGAGAGCTTATCATCCATGGTCACTCCAGAGCCAGGTTTGTGTGTGCCTAATCCCTCCTGTTCTCCACTTTACACTGCATCTAACACATTCAATGAAGCCAGAAGCTGGATCTGTGCTATACATAACATTTCTGGAGAACTGGAAGGACAGAATCACAATGCATTTGCAGTACAGATTTTTCTCTTGCTGCATTTTTAGCCAGTGATATTCTGGATGCAATAAAATACAAGGACGGGGTCTTTATCTGGAGCAAACACAAAGTAAATTCTACTAAGTACAATCTAAACACAAAAATCTCTTTTTCTGAGCATCACAGAAGCATTTGAAAGAATGTCAAACAGATGCCCCAAGAAAATTACTTCCCCTGCCTATTTTCTCATCCCAAACCCTTATTATTACTTTTTGATTGATTTTTTTTGGCTCTTACACACTCTCATGCTGATCTTCTTAGGTGGGCTCTATACAACCTTCCCAGCTTTCTTTCATCCCTCTAGTGTTCTTGCCAATAAATTATTCTAGTTTTATGAAAGGTTTCTTTTTTATTTCATAATCATTTTCTCTTGATCCAAAATGAACTAAAACTCAGTGGTTGGGTGTTTTGTTCTTTAATGCAACATTTGGTCTGCCAACAGCCTTGAAAATGTATTTCAGCCTTCTCTGTTTATTTGAAAGCTGTTTCTTCCAAGAAGGCTAAGAATAATGTGGTTACCATAGTTTCCTTATCCACAACCAATAAAATGCAGCTTGGAATACAATAAAACAAAGCTGAGACTACTCACAAAATGTGACTGAATGAGTGAATACTGAAATCTTCACCCTACATCACTCCCAGCACTATGGAAAACACTCAGGGCTAATCAACAGCCACCTTTTGGTGCAGCAGGGAAGATGAGGAGAAGCCTGTCCAGCTACCAGCTATTTGAGATAAATCAATTCCAACACTTTGGATGTCTGCTGCTTTGGAATTCCCACCTCACAGATTCAGTGTTTCACTGCAGAGATTTTGTGCTTTTCTGTAATCTCCTGTTCTGGGAAGCTTTGCTGAGGCTCACTGGAACCAAGTGATGGATTAATTACTGCTAGGAACCAGTTGACAAAGTAAATAATGAACTGTTTGTTCTTACAGTTTTGTTGGCTCCTGAACAGGCAAGATTCTAGGGAACAAGCCAAAAATAATCTTTCCTCTTTCAAGTCAACTGGCCAACAAAACCCCACATAGACTTCATAGATTATACAAATTACACCTGCTTTGGACACAGCCATTTGCTTTCCTGATTACAAGTGAGGGGATTTTACTCTAATAAAAGGAACTTTTAAGAAATGAAAGAAAAGCAATTGTTCTCAATAGTAATGAATAAAGAAAGAAACACCCACCACATGCACAATGGTGAGACCTGCTGGCAATTTTTTTTTCTTGATTTTAAAAATGAGGGGAAGGGAAGGGAAGGGAAGGGAAGGGAAGGGAAGGGAAGGGAAGGGAAGGGAAGGGAAGGGAAGGGAAGGGAAGGGAAGGGAAGGGAAGGGAAGGGAAGGGAAGGGAAGGGAAGGGAAGGGAAGGGAAGGGAAGGGAAGGGAAGGGAAGGTACAGAGCATATCCTATTTGATGCAAGCACCTGAGTGGAATGGAAGCAGAATCCTCCTCCCACAGACTCAGTGCATGCTTTGAGTCTGACCCCTGTGTGCCTGGGACTCTCATAAACACACCAGGTAAACATGGAAGAACACAACTCAAGATTCTCTGGTGTTCTGCTCGTGTTTTCTTGCCAGTGACAACAGCCCAAGACTGCTGAGTTTAAATTAAAAGGCTCTGGCCATGGTTTGATAACCCCTGGATGTAAGCAATAGGAAAAGAAAATAAAGCAACTCCCTTCCTTAGCCCAGGCACCCAGGGCTGTAGGTGGGGGCTCTGAGCAGTGGGAGCAGGAGAACTGCTGGAAGAGCATTTGCTGCTGTTGTTTTTGAAGAAAAGCTGTTGCCCTGACTGTGCAGCTTTCTGGAGCTTTTTCAGACCCCAGGAACACCATCAGTGGGTGCATCAAACACACACACTGAGAGCCACACAGTTTCAGTTAGAGAAGGTATTGCACAAGAAAATATAATACTTCTTTCATCCCTGCCTTCTCATCTTGGGAAGGTCATGTGTAGGAATACACATGAGTAGAGGAAAGAGAAAAAGGTGTAGGAGTTCAAGAGATCACTCATGTGGTGAACGTGCTCCACACTTTCATGTTCACCTCACAGAAAAAGCATTCTGTGTGTAGCAGGATGCCAGCTCTAATGTACAAGATAAAAAATAGTACTTTTACAGAAAAACCATCTTAGATCTGTTAGTGTGTGGTGCTCATGGCATTGCTTAGACCAAGTAGTACATTTTTAAACTGCTGATGTCAACTTAATCAGGATCAGCACTATAAAAGAAAATAGCTAAAAGACAGGTGTTGCAGTAAGGTAGAAAAACTATAAAAGAAAGGCCTCACAAAATCAGGCCTGCTCTGTTAAATGGATATCTAGCCTGTCATTTCTTCTAAGCAAAGCTAGCACTTTACAAATTCCCATGTGAAAGCAATCCTGGTGTGAGCAGTTCCTTAACATAATCTATTCCTAGGTGAAAAACAACTAGCACCTACATAAACATTAAATCTATCCCGTGAGAACCAGTGAAGAAAACATGTAAAGTATTTAAGAGTAGAGAGATTTGATGGACAAGTAAAATCCTTTTACTAACCAATAAAGTAATAAACAAGAAAAGTAGTAACCAATTAGAGTGACACACAAGGTCTGTAAAATTGTATAAAAAGGAGTGAATATGTGAATAAAGAATGGGCTTTTTCCACCATGAAGAAAATGGAGTCCTGTGTGATTTATTTCAATAGACAGGCCTATCCCCAGAGTGAATATACTGGGGAGCAGGAAGAAACAGCAAAGACCAAACCTGTATCAAACTTTGCACCCTCCTTATCTATGAAAAAGAAACAGGTAGACCAGGGACATTTTCAACATTTCCATTATGCTTTCAGTACAACACACTCCAAATCTGAACTTGTTCAATAACGTTTTTAACAACTTCATTAGTGTTTTTAAACTTCTCAATCAACAACACCCAAGAGGAGAGGCCCTGTGGCTCTGCATTGCCTTGGGGACAAGGCAGCAGCCCCTTTGTCACCAGGCTGTAAATGGTGCCCACAGTAAATGACATTTAAAGCCCCATCTGCTGTGCCATGACCAGCTTGGCTGTGGTTATCAGAACCAGACCCTGCAGCTTGGATGTGGTTACACAACCAGACCCAGCAGCCTGGCTGTGGTTCCAGACCCAGACCCAGCAGCTTGGCTGTGGTTAGCAAAACCAGAAACAGCAACTTGGCTGTGGTTCTAGAATCAGAACCAGCAGCCTGGCCATGGTCCTAGAACCAGCACCATCAGCCTGCCCATGGTTCCAGCACCATCAGCCTGGCCATGGTTCCAGCACCATCAGCTTGCCCATGGTTCCAGCACCAGACCCATCAGCCTGGCCATGGTTCCAGCACCATCAGCCTGGCCGTGGTTCCAGCACCACCAGCCTGGCCACAGTTCCAGCACCATCAGCCTGGCCACGATTCCAGCACCATCAGCCTGGCCATGGTTCCAGCACCATCAGCCTGCCCATGGTTCCAGCACCATCAGCCTGCCCATGGTTCCAGCACCATCAGCCTGGCCATGGTCCCAGGGTCAGACCCAGCATCCTGCCCATGGTTCCAGCACCATCAGTCTGGCCATGGCTCCAGCACCATCAGCCTGGCCATGGTTCCAGCACCATCAGCCTGGCCATGGTTCCAGACCCATCAGCCTGGCCATGGTCCCAGGGTCAGACCCATCAGCCTGGCCATGGTTCCAGCACCATCAGCCTGGCCATGGTTCCAGGGTCAGACCCATCAGCCTGGCCATGGTCCCAGGGTCAGACCCAGCATCCTGGCCCCGTTCCCAGGCCAGCAGGCCCTGGCCCCAGGACAGGAGCACACCCACCCACCTCGTTGATGGCCAGCTGCTCGCCGCCGCCCCCGGGGTGGCCGTAGCGGTGGGCGGAGCTGCGGAAATCCTCGTACAGATCCTCCTCGCTGCCCACATCGTCCGTCAGGGCTGTCTTGTCCAGGCCCCCATCAGTGATCACTGCAACAGCAAAATGCACATATTGGCATACAGCACAGCATTCAAAAAAAAACAAACAATAATAACATATATTTCTCCACATCACTCTATATATAAAACCTTTTTTTAATTTAACACTTCTAAAATTTCATCTACATTTAATTCTATTTCTCTTCAATTACCACAAAAAATATTTTTTCATTTACAAAAATAAAATGTAACCTATTATTCCATCAAACATTAATAATAACTCATATAATTTAAAAAAACTTGCATTATTAACTCGTAATATTAAAATAATTACCCATGTAAAAAACACACAAAAAAATATTTATCCATCAATATAAATCAAAATATAAAAATAACTTTAAACCTTAAAACTTAAAAAAAAAAATCAGTGCTGCCTCAGTAGCACTGAAACAGGATGGCAGCTCACTAGGGCAAGGGGCACCATAATGCAGCATAAAGGGGAAAAAGACAAGGAAACTATAGGAAATTTTGGGATAGAATTCCACCTTCATGCATACCTGTTCTTCAGAGAATTTTTCTCCACTCATGTTTAACCCCCATAAATGATTGTGTCTTTTTCTAGACTGGAAAATATGATTTAAAAAAAAAATCGACAACTGCTGCATGTTGCAAAGGAAAAACCAAGCAAGAATAGCAAAACAAGGTCTGAAAAAGGGCACAGGGCAATGATGGCACAAATGTGATTTTATTAGGACCTCGCTGGAAACTGGACTAGGTAACAAGAGCTCATGTCTGCCACTTCATACTTTGAGGGTTATGATTTACCAAATCCTATCTGGCCAAAGGAAATCTCAACCTTTGGGAAAAACCTTCACCTTCTTTCCACACACTTATTTGAGAAAGCTTTTTGATGCCTAAAAGGGTGTTTGCTCCAGAATGATCCATTATTCCCACAGGAAGGCCGTTCTGCTCAGCACAGCCCCAAGTGAGCTACAGATAATGGAGGGTTCACAGTCTGCAGCTGCAGCAAACACTGAAATCTCAAGCCTGAGAGAAATAAAAATGTGGCATTTATACTCCTTGCACAGAAGAAAGTGTCACTTCATCTGTTTCATGGGCAGGATCTTTTTCCTAAAGTCTCCTTGAGGTATTAGCAAATACCCTGCAGTGCCATGGGTGACATTCATCCCATCCCTGTACTGGTTGCTGAACTGAACCTTCTGTTCTCAAATCTGTGGAAAATGACAGTGATTACAGAAACCACATGCTGACATATTCATCTGGATAAGCAACTGCCAGGGCAACAGTTTCCATGACAAAGCAGTGGGCTTGACAAAGATTCCTGTGCATGAAGCACCTACACAGACACAGTGCAGAGAACAACAGAATATTATAGAAATTGTAATTTCAGTAAATGGACTTGACATGGCTACAGGAGTAAAACTGAATGAAAACACAGACATTGCTATCAGCACACCTGGCAACAGTTTTGGCTGTGCCAGTTCCATGATGTCACCCTCCAAAGTTTTGCAGAACAGGTGAAAAAATCTTTTGAGCTTGACCTTGTAGAGCTTTAATAGGGAGAGACTCACAAAGCTGGTCTTGAGCCCTCCTTTCTCTTTATAATGCAAGTGCATCTTATGCACATAATTGTGCCATTGGGTCAAAAAAAGCACCCCATGATTTATTAGCTTATTAATTACCTGAAGCCAAAGCTGCACCACATTAGCACTGAATGAAATGCTGACAGAGGTTCCAGCCAGACCTGCAGAGTTTGTCCCCATCAACACTCTCAGTACTTGGGATGGTTTGTTAAGGCTGCACCACCTGATCTCTGCTATTTACAGGGAGGTGGAAATTCAGGGTAGCAGCTATCAGTTCAATGCAGTGACCTGACATCAAAATGATGAGTATGAGCTATTTTTAAACTAAATACTTGCTTGTTTATGCTTTGAATTCAATAAATAGGCACAACACAGCAAAGATTGTCTGAAGCTGGGACTGCACTTGGTACTGATGGCAGTTCAGGACACAGAGGTGCATATGAGCTTATGATTAAAGCAGAATTTTCTGAGCAAGTATGGAACTACCCAACCATTCAACTTTAAGTGACATTTCACACAAAAATCAAGCATTCCCCTAGCTTTGCTCTGACACCTCACATGTTCATTATACAGAAATTCTGCACTGAATGTGTGCCAGTAGTATAGATTGCATATAAAGCAATTCTGGGGTTAAGACCTAGTCCATTAATATAAAACTCAAAACCAGCTGGAATACCACTGATATTATCATTTCATGCAGAGTTACTGGAACTTTTAAAACTAAATTCAAGGGCATTAAAGGTATCACTTTTTGCTCACACACTGTCTGAAAAACCTTTGATAGTAATTTCCAGTGTGTTAGTGTAGCACAGAAACAAATTAAAAATGTTTTTCAAGAACAAATAAAAATAAATCATTTATAAGAAGCAAGTCAGCAGTCACTTAATTCAAAACTCTTCTTCAGCCCTCTGATCTCATTCTTTTCCCTTATTTTACACATGGCTTCATTGCTTTCCCCTTACACATCTTCTGCTATTTTCACTGCTGAAAGTAACCTTCAGCTTGAAAAATGTTTATTGGCATCTTTAAGGCTTTTGTTTTTTGCCCCCACACTTTCCTATTTGTTCTCTGATCTGTGCTTAGATGAAAAAGCAAAAGCTCCAGGGAGGTATTTATCTGTGTTACTTAAAATGCTCTATACCTCTGCTAAGTGCCTTGAAAGCTGTGCTTGCTTTTACTAGAGATCTGTTTTTCCTCTCTGATCTTACCAAGCTCATCAATTCTCTGCTGTCTCAAGACCTGCTACTGCATTTGGGATTAGTTTTGCTGGCAAAAAAAGACATATTGCACCAAAATTATACTTCACAGGCATAAGAAAGTTCTCTATCCTTGAGAAAGAATGGCCCAGGATAGCCATTGCACATCTTCCCAAACTAATGCTGCAGGGAAGAATTCAATTCATGAAAAAAAGTGTTTGCTCTGAAGCAGGTTAGATGAAAGACATGACCACAAATAAATAAAATAGTAGTCTGGAATGGTGACCCAATGCACTAGAAAGCCATCAAGGAGTAGGAGAGTGAAGGCTTTTAGTGTAGGAACTGACTTAATGTGCAAAGCATAAACTAGGTCAAGTAGAAAAGAGGCAAGCACTATACAAAAATCTTAGAAGACAAGTTAGCAGAGATTGCTGGATTGCTATCAGCCTGCCCAGAGCACAGCACTGGCTGGACACTGTGAAACTGCACAGGGCATAACTCAGGTGCTTCATTCCTGCCACCCCCAAGTGCTCATCTCTGTCTGACACTGAAGTTCAGTGGCACAGTCATGCTTGGCCTCTCTGGGACACTGACCTGGCCTGGCCCTGCCTGGCAGTCAGGCCACACCCAGGAACAACAAAAGTAAAGCCAAGCATCAATTAACTCAAGCAGATTTCTTCATATTTATACTTCTGTCCTGATAAATTTCACTAAATATGGCAACAAGTCCCACACACAGGAACTTAGGGAGGGGGAGTAACCAACATTTAGTACTACAGCCAATATGTGCAAGAACTAAAACTGTTTCCTGCTGCTGTTAGTCCTAGCCCAAGCTTGGATTTATGTCATTCCAGTACAAAAGCAGATGGATAATGCTAGCAAGAGCAGCTCACAAAAGGATGCCACACAAACTCTTTTTAAATTCATCCACACAGAAAAAGTGTCAAAAACCTGACTCCATGAAGAATTATCTTGAGGATGTGAGGCTTTGAAACTCATACAAAAGATGTCACTGGAAGCAGGGAGTGGCACAGGTGCTCTGTGTGCCTGGCAGAGCACTTGGGCTGCATTCAGGGACAAAGGGAAGGGTTCTGTGCAAACCAAGTGAGGCTTGGGCAGATGGTCCAGGGGAAGGGCTGACCCTGCTCCCAGCTCCCCACAGGGTCTGGAATGCAGCTGTAAGCAGGCAGCAGTGGGAAGGGTCCTGCCTGGGCTCTGCTTGTGCCCCTGCCTTGCTCCAAGGTGATGCCAAGCAGCTCCAGGAGGTTCAGGCACACAGTTCCAGAGCTCTCCATGGCACCAGGAAGCCTCTGGAGCTGTTACCAGCTCTGTGCTTCACAGGGAAGAGCACTCAGTGCCCAGAGGGAGAGACAAGCCACAGCTGAACAATTCACTGCCACCCTGCTCAGAGGTAAATTGGGTCAATGGAGGGCAGCTGCCTGCATGGGGGGTTTGCACAATCCCCAGGTGACACTGCAGAACAAACCAGTGGGGCTGCATTGGGACAGCCTTGATCTTCACCACCAACAGGGATGGCAGGGAGGGGAAAACAGAGAAAAGGTTTTGTGTTCTTCATCAAACTGGTGGGAAGATGAAATTGGAATTAGATGTTCTACTGGAGGTCTCAGAAAACAAATGTTAACTGCAGTCCAGAGTTCAGCTGAGACTAATGTCACCAGTTCCACACAGCTGTCCTCTGCTCCTCTCTCAAAGGATGGACCTGCCTCACACATTCCATGTGCCAGCAATTAGTGAACACAAGTTGTTGTCAAACAATCAAAAAAGAATAAGCTCAAACAAAACCCCAAATCAAAGTAACACCCAAAAAACTACATACACCTACCCCCATAAAAAAATAAAATTAAAGGAATATAATCCCACCTTCTCAGTGGAAGATTATTCTCACAGAATAAATTTCTAGAATAGTTTCCTTGGAGGAGTTGGACACTACAGTCCCAAATTTAGCACAGTCTCTTAACAGAGCTCTCTCAAACTCACAGAGGTTTATGTCTCAGCTGGAATAAACCCCAGCAGCTCCCCAGTGGCAAGGAGCTCCAGACGTGTGTCTGGGTCACAAGCCTGAACAATGACCCAGGACTGAAGGAAAATGGGCTGCAGGCACTTTCCCAAAATGTTGGTTATCTGTTTTCACTTGATTTACAGTCTACAGCTTTTAGGGGCAAGGCTGGGACAGGAATCCATGATGATTACAGACAGCTTGGAAAGCCAAGAGCATCCATAGTTTATTAAA